TATATATATATATATATATATATATATATATATATATATATATGGCTTAATTGTTTAGCACGCTTTTCTGCTGAAAGCATAATTCTATCTTTCTCCGGCATGTAATGAGCAACAAAGATAGAATGATGCTCCTAGCACGAAAGCGTGCAAGACGAACGTATAGTCAATATACATATATATAGTATATTTACTTATCGACTGGAGCAGTGCAACCACTACAAAGTGGTAGTGAACGATTAGCGCGAGATATGCCAAATTCGTCCTAACATATTATATCGTATTTGAAGTTTTATCGAGTGTTTGGGTTTAAGTTCGTTATTTTGTGAACGAGGTAACGTAGAAATCCACGATCGGTAAGTGTTCTTTACGGATCATTGGTTTCTACAATAAATATTGTTGCCGAATGGATTGTCGAAGAAAACGGCGTGATGCGTGAGCACGTCAGTCGTTGGAGGTTAGGTTAGGTTCGCAGTCAAGACGTGAAGTTGCCTTGAGGTTTTGCTATCTACGATACTAGTGCTATTCTTGTCGTTTCAGTGATCTATTCCTTCAGTACTGTGTTGCATTTGCGGCACTCGACATTTTATATTTAAACTTTGTGAAGAAAATAATAGCGACTGGTAGAAAGTAGAGAAAATATAACTGAAAAGAAGCTTTTGACAATTTCGTAGTTTCTCGGTAGGCAATAAATTTCCCGATTGTACATTTCGTATGTACATTTGTATTCAACTATAATATTCAGCATATAATTTTATTGTGTGTTCTGTCTCATTTTACATTGTTTTGCTTTATTTCATCCTACGTATGTACTATCATGATTATAAGTGATTTCTACCTAAGGACCTTGCTTGAAAACATTCTTTATTTGTGTATTGTTATATTTTTGCGGAGTAAATCGATAAGCACAAAATGGTAACCGCAGAACCAAAGATCTCTATCGATAAAGTAGCTGCCTTTTGCAGTTTTTTCTCGGTTACGTCTATAGATGGCGCGACGATGGCCTCTCCGATTTTTGACATCCATTTGGCTTGTATGTAGCTTCATGTGCGCGATTATTGACTTAAATATTATACTGCTATAGATATATCTAACATATCATATGATCAACAATACACAGACGCGAACAAAGATCCGTCAAACTTGATATCGACAAAATTTTCTCGAAAAGACAACGAAAAAGTTTGTTTTGTAACAATGATTAATTTAAAATATTCGCTATAATGTCCCAGAACAATCTATTCGATGGGTCTCAAGACTTTCTCGGGGTAAATAAACGAGGCTGCGTGAAAATCTGGATGATATATATATTGTTTATTGTTAGCATCGTTATCAGTTGCTTTCATGCGCGCGATACATTCGTGGACTTGCGCGACGTAAAGGGAAGGGGGAACGTCCGCTCGAATTTTGAATTCTTTTTTTTTTTGGCGAACGAGTTTGAAGATTCGGAAGATTCGTATCGATGTGACGCTCGTTTGACTCTCTGTAGCAGAGGGGGGAGGGGGGAGAAGGGAGAAAGCGTGTGAGTTAACGCGAATTAACGCTTACGGCGGAGTATACGGTATACAAAAACGAGCGGTATACAAAAGATATCGTACGCAAAGCGCTAAATAAATAAAGAGAGCGACTCGCTGAGTTTCTCTCCGAGAAACTACTCGCGCGATATACAGGGTTGGCAAAAAGTCCGGAAACGGTCAAATATCTCGAAAAGGATCAACTGTAGCGAAAAATATATAAGTAGCAAAGTTGTAGAGCTTAATAAAATGTACCTAATGATGGCTAAAAATTTAACTTTGGGTGGAGGACGAAGGTCATACGAAGGTCAAATTGAATTTTTTTAATTGGATCCCCCACTTTTATTACATATTCTTGTAGCTTATTTCAAGGGCTTTAAAAACCTATAATAAAGTATTTTTTTATTAGGCAGATTTAGAGTTATGAGACTTGAAAGGATTTTGGTCTTTAACTGTTTCTGTTTCGTAAAAACGTATCACTGTCTTCTGAACGGTGGATTTAGAAATAAAATTGTGATCAGGATATGCAGCATTGAATGTGTAGATCAGTATTTTTTTATTAGACATATTTAGAGTTATGAGGCTTGAAAGGATTTTGGTCTTTAACTGTTTCTGTTTCGTAAAAACGTATCACTGTCTTCTAAACGGTGGATTTAGAAATAAAATTGTGATCAGGATATGCAGCATTGAATGTGTAGATCAGTTACTTCTTCGTATGATCTAATATGGTCTCCAAATTTTCGATAAAGAAACATCATTATCTTTTCTTTATCGGTTAACATTTTTAAAAAAGAAATTTGAAACTGTAGTTGGAAAAAGAAAAGAAAAAGACAAAGAGTAAGATGCGAGAGAGCACAACTCGTTTTTAAAATACAAAGATCGAGAAGCGTTATCGTGAAGCGCGGGTATGCGCGAGTTTTGACTGAGTACGTGTGATATTACGTCGTGAATGAATAACCGCGTTCGATGCGAGCGAATGAACAACTAGACTGGGAGCCTAAAAAACAAACACAGGAGAAAAACAAGAATAACTTTGTTCGTGTCTCGAGCTAGATATAACCGGCTTAGTTGTTCATTCGTTCTCATCGAACGCGGTTATTCGTTCACGACGTAATATCACACATACTCAGTCGAAACTCGCGCATACCCGCGCTTCTCGATCTTTGTATTTTAGAAAACGAGTCGCGCTCTCTCGTATCTCACTCTGTCTTTTCTCCTTCTTTTTTCAAATTTCTTTTTCGAAAATGTTGACCGAAAAAGAAAGAATAATGCTGCTTATTTATCGAGGATTTGGAGACTGCATTAGATCATATCAAGAAGTAGCTGATCTATTCAGTGAAATATGTCTAAAAAATACTTTATTATAGGTTTTTGGAAAGCCCTTGAAATAAGCTACAAGAATATGTAATAAAAAGTGAGGGGTCCAATTAAAAAAATTCAATTTGACCTTCGTATGACCTTCATCCTCCACCCAAAGTCAAATTTTTAGCCATCATTAGATACATTTTATTAAGCCCTACAACTTTGCTACTTACATATTTTTCGCTACAGTTGATCCTTTTCGAGATATTTGACCGTTTCCAGACTTTTTGCCAACCCTGTATATCTCAACGCGGGTATACGATGAATCATAAATAATGAAGGAACGCGAGCGCCTTCCCGGATCCTTGCCCCAAATTCGTATCGGCTCCGAAAGATCCGCAAGATCGCAGTGCGATCGGCGACTGAGATTTCTCTGTGTTATAATAATTATACGACAGCTTGATTGAGATTCTCCTCCGCTTGAAGCAATAAGCAATAAGTGACAATTAATTATGTGGTACACATAATTAATTAAACACGACGCGTGCGTTCGAGGAAGAGTCCGGCGCGCGCGTTCCTTCGGCTTAACTAAACTAAAAAATAATAATAATAACAACAATAATATCAATAGTAATAAATATGCATATACACACAGACGAGACCGTAGGTCTGCATTCGGAGGAAAACATGGTAAAATATATAGGCAGCTATATAGGTGACAACTATAAGAGTTTCGTATGTGTAGAATTGTGATGTACATACAGAGAGAGAAAATATTATAAAAATATTTAAAAAATATTTAAAAGAATATTCAAGAAATATTCAAAAATATTAAAACATTAAAAAATATGAATATTAACAAAATAGTAGAATATTACAACAAAACACTTGTAACTGGCCCATACAAAATTACAATTGAAATTGCCATTATATTTGTTGAAAAATGTTACACGTTTGATTCTTTATTATAAAATTATTGTGTATATTTGAAAGCTTTTTATATCGTATACCACGTAAAACATAGAAATTTATCGTTTCTACAGTAATTTATACCATACAGTTTCTTCTTACTTTCAGTTTTACTGAAAACATTGTAAAAAGAAACATAATTTTAACATAATTTTTACTTTAATATTTTCTTCGTGCATATAGTTCAACAAACTATCTTGTAGTTGTTACAACTGAGTTTCAGTTGCTATAACTGCAAAATCGTTTATTCAAGTATACGTTAATTCCACACATAAAACGCGTACATTTGTTACCTATATAGCAACATCCGTATAGTAATATCTATATACTATATCACCTGTATAATTGCCATTACACCATGTATTTTCCTCTGACGACTTCGATCGATTGCAGCAACGTTCTTCTGTCGTTCGCGACCGCGTGTTTACCGACGGAACGTCGCGATACATTTCGCATTATTTTTTTTTTAGTCGCCACTTCGCGTAAACACCGGCGCGAGACTGCATCTCCTAAATCTGCTAAATAAAATTTCTATATCGCAAGCGCGTGCGTGTGATGCGGGCGAGAAGCGGAAAGCCTCTTTCGTGATCTGCCCTCTTCGTTCGTTTCCCTCTGTACTCCCGACGGTGTTTCTTCGCTGCCGCGGATCAGTTAGTTAGTTAGTTGGACGATAAAGTATAAAACAGGTCATATGTACCAAAGCAAACCAAGAATAAGGCAAATAAGAGCCGACTGCCGATCTTAATTACTTCGCTAGCAGAGAAAATCAGCATCAACCGACCCAAAAATGGCAAGATCTAAATGCTGTTTGATTTTTATAAAAGTCAGTACTAAAGTACTTTTCAAGTCGTTGAATACGAATTTGAGGTCAAAATTAAAAAATTCAAATTAATATCAGATTCGAAATCAGCGATCCTAAAGTTCCATCCAAATCAAGTCACTTTTTGCATTTTGGTCCGTTCAATCCGCCATATTGAATCCGCTATCTTGAATTTCAAAATTTTAAGCTAAGATTCGAAATCAGTGACCCTAAAAATCCCCGCGTACCGAGTTTCATCCAAATCAAGTCATTTTTATATTTGGTCCGCCATCTTGAAGTTGACAAAACTAATCTCAGATTCGAAAGCAGCGACTCCAAAAACTCCCAAATACCAGATTTCATCATAATCAAGTCACTTTTCATATTTTGATCCGCCATTTTCAAATTTAGAGTTCAAATTCGAAATCAGCGACCCCAAAAACCCCTGCACTGTTAAATCCGTAGTGTCAAATTATACTCAATTTGAGTTATTTTTAACCATTCCTATAAGTCGCCACTACTATAAGTAAGAACACTATAAGTGCTCCTACTAAATATGTCGTTAATTTAACTAATGTAATGGAGTTAAATAATTTAACTTAAGAAATGTATTAAATTTGACTAAAATTTAGTTTATTTTTTATTATGTGCACGTTAATGTAACCTTTGTTTTAGTAAAAAAATGACTTAATAAACCCCTGCACTGTTAAATCCGTAGTGTCAGATTATACTCAATTTGAGTTATTTTTAACCATTCCTATAAGTCGCCACTACTATAAGTAAGAACACTATAAGTGCTCCTACTAAATATGTCGTTAATTTAACTAATGTAATGGAGTTAAATAATTTAACTTAAGAAATGTATTAAATTTGACTAAAATTTAGTTTATTTTTTATTATGTGCACGTTAATGTAACCTTTGTTTTAGTAAAAAAATGACTTAATATTGTTTTAAATGGGTTGATTATATGTGGTTGTTTTTTTTAAACATATGTTTTGTTAAAATAGTAAATTTTGACACACATGATAGTTAAAAATAACTAAATATTATTTAACTCAAGAAATTGGTTTAAATTTGACCCTCCAATATTTAACAGTGTGAGTACTGAGTTTCATGAAAATTTTGCTAACGGAAAAAAATAAAATGACGTGCGCATTAGTGCGTCAATGTCATTTTTGATACGTCCTTTATTTGACGTAAAAGCGCGTCAATGCCAGCGAAGTGGTTAAAAGCGAAAATCACAATTTAATAAAAGCTTGTGATACATTTAATTAAGGACAAAAATCGAATTTTTGTATTAATACTTAATACTTTAATACTTAAATAAATGTATCACAAGTTTTTATTAAATTATGATTTTCGCCTTTAAGATCGACAGTCGACTCTTATTTGCCTTATTCTTTGTTTGATAAAGAGCCTCAAGAGCCTTTAACTTTTGATTTAAATCATATATACGTTTCGCAACCGACGAGGTTGACCGCGAAGGCGTGAATGCACATTCAGATGTTCCCCGGAAATTTTCTTTTTTCTTTCCTTTTTTTCAGCGATTTCCCTCACACTGCGCTACGGATCGCGTATCTGATGCGTTTCCCGGGCGATTAGACATTACTGTCACACGCAGATGTGTTTGCCCGATCATCCGTGCTTATCTATGTGGAACGACGAAGTATGAAATATTTATCGCGCTCTGATGCGTGACGTATCGGCATTTTTCCCGCGGTACGTCACCGCACGTATACACCGTATATACGCGTAATTTCGCGCGCATCGCGTCTCGTGTAATTGACTCGTGCTTTCGCATTCAATTTTTCCTGCAGATTTCGCGCATATCTCGTGTATACTTTGGGGTTTACTTCGCGCTCTTTTTCTCTCTTTCTCTCTCGATCTGCACCGGAAAATACAATCTCATCCTTAGCGGAATCTTCTTGCACCGTGAGAGAAAAATATCTAAAAAATAAACGATGTTTATTCAAGCTACTAGTGGCGCATATCGTACCAACATACATATATTGTTATACATACAATATATATATTTTTACATTGAAGAGATAGTAATTTTTTTTCACAAAAGAGAACGTTTTCTTAAAATCACTGCTTTTCGTGAAAGCAGTTGTTTATTTTATTTGAACAAAACAATTTAGAATAAATATGGTAATACCTACCACAAATAAATATTTTTATTGTTTAGATATCTTTCCTCTCACTGCAGAATACTTCTCTTTACCTTTTAGAAAAATCTTTTCCAGGTCAAGAGAATTCTGCTAAAGATGAGACTATATTTTTTTAGATATGGTCCGATTTTATTGACGAGGGATTTTATTAACGGGATATTTTTTTGAGTGTTATGTGCATACCGTCGGTGATCTGGCTAGTTACGCCGTTTCGCCCGATATGTTTCGTCGGATATACGTATTTGTTACCGTCGAGAGCCCGTTGTCGGGAAAGCTCGCGTATCTTCCCCCCCGTCCGAGCCAGTCGGACGGTATCGTCTACCCGAGGTTTCGACATTTCGGCGAGTACTTTTTTTTCGTTTTTCTTTTTTTATATACATGCGCGCGCGCGCGTACACACACACACACACACAAGCACATACACACGAAGCCAGCCCGTCGTTTCGCTCGCCCTCGCCGATACCCAGTGAAACGTTAACGAAGGAGACTGTGATGAGGATCGACGTTCGTTAATGGGAGCACTCGAAAAAGCGATCGTCGCGCATTTTATCGCATATGCTCTCGGCTCGCGTCGCTCGAGATGCAAAAATTTGATTCAGAGTTTGATCCACCGTGTGGCGCATTCGTCTGTATATAATACTGGTGGCAATTACTGTCCCGAAGGGGTAGCAAGGAGGAGCGGCAACTTTCACGCTGGAAAACACGTGTTTCTTTTTGCTTCTCTTCTTCGAGACAAATCGCATGCATTTTTTTCCATCTTTTTTTCTTCTCTTTTTCTCATAGTTTCTTTGTGTGTATGTTTTTTTTTTTTGTTCTCTTTCTCCGCGTTTCGTCAATCTCCCCGTCGGAGGATCCGAATCGCGAATAGTCGAGGATTTCAAGTCCCAGTCGAGAGCTCGTCCTTGCTATCTTCCTCGCTTCAATATTCAATTCACCGTTGCAAGCTGTGTTTTATTATTGTGTTTTATCTTTACTGTGTTTCTTAAAGCACAATGAGGTCTCCTCGGCCCGGTCCTCGTCGCGCCGGCCCACCGCGTTTTCAACTGCCGCGACTGCCTCCGTCTCTAATGCGATTGCCTCTTGCGTCCCATATTGCAGATCTTGAAGTGGCACAGCGACATGTCTGGAAAGAGAAAGAAAAAGAAAAGAGAGATGAATCGCGACTCGTTAAAGGAAAGTAGCCAAAAACGACATAGGCCTTCTAAAGCGACATACCTTTATATCTCATATATTAAATGCTGTCATTCTTAAAGAAGAAAGAACTCACAAATAAAATATAAAATTAATGATAGGAAAAAGGCTAATATGAGTTCAAGCACAGTAGTTGTAGTGCTATGTACCAAAATTGGTAAAGCCTTCCTTACGTTAGGAAATAATGTAATTTATTTTACAAAGAATATATAAATAAATAATCAAACGTTTCAGTTCATCCATGAACCCTCTTCAGTGATACATATATAAAAGTCTCAAGAATTGTACAGAAACAGGAAATTTTATCACGAAAACCTAGATTTAGTGAAACAGAAAAGAAAACGATGTTAGTTTGATATTAAGATCGACAAAAGCGTTAAATATCCATACTAATATGGTTACTCGCAGAAGCAACTATTAAGATGCAGCGGTCGTATGTCTAACAAAACATATAGTGCGTAAAAATTTAAAAACTTAAATGAATTAAATTGAATAAACGGTTATAAATTACCTAGGACAGATTGTAAGCCCAACAACAAGGAAGAAACGATATTGTCGACGATAATATTACCAAGTCTCGGAATAAGAATAACAAATGATTTATATAGCGTCGAAATACGTAGCGGCGAACGTGCAAGAGAAGGAGATAAAAAAAGAGTCGTCATAATAAACCGCAGTAGCTGTTGCCTAAATATTCAGTGTCTTTTTGCGAATTTAATCCTTGTTTTCGTAATCTGATGAAAATCATTTCTGCTATCAGACGTTTTAAGTAAAAGCGTTCTTTATGTAAAATTTTAACGTGTTCCCAATTAAATTCATGGTCGTCATTTAAACGATATTCCTGGACGGCCGTTAAATCCACAGTAGATTTCCTAGGAATTCTCATATGTTCAAAAATACGCGTAGAGTCTTCTGTTAGTTTATCCGACATATGAAGCCAGCTACCGCATTGTAACTTGTAAACAATATTATTATGGAGTCCAGGAGGAATCTATCTTTATGAACTCGAGTTATTCCCGATAATTTATTAAAACAAAAATAAGAAACAATTGTCGAATTCTCTTTAGAAATCTTTGTCAGTCCATCAGAGACCAAACCAAAAAACGATATATATATATATATATATATATATATATATATATATATATATATATATATATATATCACTACTGAGTACGTGTGATATTACGTCGTGAATGAATAACCGCGTTTGATGCGAGCGAATAAACAACTAGGCTGGGA